GGCTCAGTAGAATAAGCGCTTCCCTGGCAAAAGAATCCCCTGGTTCTATCAAAAAAAAAAAGCTATGACTTAAAAAAAATCAGCAAAAAAAAAAAAAAAAAAAATGTGGCATTTCCCAGGAGAGGGGAAAAGGGGAGTGTGTTGAGTGGATCCAGCTCCCTTCAGGGGAAGACAGGAAAGGATGTGGGGATGCTTGTAGGAGACAAGGACAGCAGTGTGAGTATGCTGAGTGCCCGGGAATGGACACAGACCTGGCCAAAAGACAATTTTTCACATATTCATTTACAACAATGAGAAGGGAAGGGAAAAGCTAGGAAATGCCCCATGGGTAATGCTGTTGGCCCACAGCTTTAGTCTGAGGAGCACAGGAGGGAGGACCCAGGGCTGGGGTGGGTGTGGCCAACCAGATCCTTTCTTCTCCAGGTCACCAGAGAGCTTCAGAGATCCTTGACAGGAAAACAGCTTTCTTACCTGGTGCTAAGGTCATTTAGTGGTGTAACCCAGGCACCACCTGAGGACCTCAGAACTGACACCTGGCCTCCATTTCTCTTAAGAGCCAGAAGGGCTGTCAGAAAGAGCTTTGGTACCATCCTTCCCTCAGAGGTGAACAAGGACCTGGCAGAGCAGCCACAGGCGACATCCAGCTCTGGGGACCCACAGGGAAAAGGAAGCTGCTGGTGCTGAGCATGCTGGGGATGGAGGCAGCTCTGGAGCGAAGGTCACGGGCCTTGGAGAGGGATTAACGTGACCACAGCCAGTCCCTGCACAGAAGCAGTGGACTCCACCACTTGACTGGCAAGCAGAGTCCTGCCCTGGCTGGGTCTACCTTCAGCCTCCATGCCCTGGCCACGTGCAGGTAAAGACAGAGCCAGGCTAGCACCTGAAAGACAGGAACACAGAAGCCACCGGAAATGCCCACTTTGAGAAATGACCTGGAGGTGCCCGAGATGCAATCTGCGATTAGCTGCCCTAGAACAGTGTTTATGCTTCTGTGTTGAAAACACTCTTCTCTGTTTTTTAGGGACAGAGCCACTTGAGGCTTCACTGTACAATTCATTGGTGGAAATATTTACTTAAATTCATTTTATAAGCATTGAGTGTGTGTGTGTGTGTGTGTGTGTGTGTGTCCTTTTTGTAGCTTCTCCAAGTCATACGTTGAGTGGGGTCTACAGGCACCTGGAGGAAGCACCCCACAAAGAAGCGCCAGGCCCTGCATTCTTTGAGCTAACAGCACATGGAGTATTGTGCATGTCCAACATGGGGACAGAGCAAGGTGGCAGGTTTTACTCTTGCCATGTATTTCGTGAGGCTTGGATGATGTCCAATCGGCACCTGGGAAAGGCCTAGGTGGCCTCCTGTAGGGTGAAGGGAACCTCGTACCCCGGCCTGCCTGAGAGACGGGGCTCTGCTGGGTGTGAAGCCAGCTGGGAGGGCTGATAGGAGACAGCTATCTCCTGCTCATATCCAAGGTGGGCACCTAGGAGGGGGTAAGGGCTGCCTGACCAAGGCTGGCCAGCTCCAGACTGTTCTCCAGCTCTCAAGTTCCTCCCTGGTTTCACTTCTCCTGGCTGTCCTGCTTTGGCAACAGGTGCTCCAGTGGAGAGACACAGAATGGGCTCAGCAACACAGGACAGCTTTGACCCCAGAGCAGGAGAAAGGAGATGACACACTGTGGCCAAGACCCCAGCTGTCTAGACCAGGGCCGCTCACCTGCACACACACACACACACACACACACACACACACACACACACAGTCCCCTGGGGCTGGCTAAAGTACTGATTCTCATTCGTAGATCTGGGATGGGGCCTGAGACTGTGCATCCTAAACAGTTTCTTGATGCCCAAGGACTACACTGCGAGCCCTCGCTGGTTCCTGAGGAACCATCTCCTTAAAGGAGTTAGGTGACTGGCATCACATGGACACTTACCTGGGCTCCATTATACTTCCCCAACATCAGCAGATCCTGCTACTGAGATACTTAGCCCTTGCACCCCCACTCCTCATGTCAGGTGCCCCAGTGGCTCCCCTCCCACTCAGGCACAGGTCATCAGGCTTCTTGGCTCTCTCCTGACTCCCACCCACTGTGTCCCAGCCTTATCTCCCCTTAGTAGCATGGAGATGTTTCCCAGCTCACCCAGCTACCAGTATTCCCGCATTAGAGCCCAGGCCAGCAGCTTGTACACCCCAGATGCTTTCTCCAGTACCCCTGCAGGCTTTGTGAGGGATCCCTGGGAGTCAGTGTGGATGACAGGACCCTCCTTCCCAAAGGGAACCTGTACTGTCCCATCCCACTTTCTTGGTAGGGACCCCCAAATCCAGACTCCAGCATGTCTCTAGACACACCACTAATGCACTCATCTGACAAGTGTATACCAGCAACAGCATTGCTCTTTCTTTATTTTAAATATGCCAGGAAGGGGCAGTGCCCGGTGCTGAGAAAGCCCTGCTCAGTGGGTAGAAGCCAGCGGGATGTCACCAGGCAGCCTCCCCACAGGAAGCAGTGTTGCAGCAGGGTGCCAAGCAGGGAAAGAAGGTGAAGGTCCCAGGAATGGGCTGTGGAGGGCACCTGGGTCCTCCATTGCATAGCTGTGGCTTGGGACTAGCATGGGTTGCACAAAGGACAGGAAGCTGTTTGAAGGCCTTGTGCAGTAGATTTGGGTTGGTACATAGAAGACTCAGACCTTCCTCGTTGCCAGGAGGAATGGACCTGGAGTCTCCCCTGGGTGGCAGACCTCAGGGCACCAGCTGCTAGGATGGCAGGGCTCAGAAGGTGGGGGCAGAAGCACAGAAGACAGGGAGGAGATACAGACAGCCATATCTCCAGCCCTTCACTGAACTCTGGAGCCCATCTAGACCTGCACATCCATAAGCGTAATATCACCGGTTACTTCCAGATGACTGATGGACAGCAGGTCCTGCAGGCGGTGCTCATATGTCAGCAGGGGCTGGCCATCCACAGTCACCCTGTAGCAGTCAGCTTCGCATGTGATCTGTACCTGTGCAGAGAGGGCTAGCATTCATCCTCCATGTGAAAAGTCCTCAGCCTCCCCAGGCTTGGAGCACCTCCTTCTTCTCCCCAAGTAACCCCTTCCCATCCCCCATTGAAGGACCCGCCCTCTCTAAACATCCTTTGCTTTCTTCCCTGGGAGATCAGCATGTGTTGTTCCCAGCCAGCTGTGAGGTTCCCAGTCAGCATCTCCGTCCCTTGTGTCCCTGCCAGGCATCTCAGGACACAGTGCCTCTGGCAAATCTTCCCTGACCCCAACCAGGGGACCAACTGCCTCCTCAATCCACCAGGGCAGCAGGACTGGCTGCTGCCATCTGTGTCCTCCATGCCCCTACCTGGACTCTGGAGCAACAGCAGCAGCAGCCCCCTGACTGCTTCTCTCCAGCCCAGGACCTTCTCCCAAAGGTAGACAGTGTATAAATTCAATGGTCACACTTGCATCATACTTGTGTGCAGGGCACTGTCCCAGTGTGCACAGAGACTACTTCGGCCCATTCCCACAACTCTGACATTCCAGGATTCTTAGCTCCATTTGTAGATGAGGAAATGGAGCTGCAAGGACCCAGTGACTGTCCCTGGCTGAAAGGCCCTTCCCCGAGGTCACCAGCTACCTATCAGTCAAAGGCAGTGTCCCTGCTGTTGTTCCTCCGAGGCTTCTCCCTGTAGTAAAATCCAAGCTCCCTTCCCATCCCCAGAGCTCTCCACCTGTCATTTCCTACCCAGATGCAGAGTACAGGCCTCCAGGACACAGCTTCTGGCTAAGAGGATGCCCAGGGGGACAGTCTGGATAACTGGGGTAAGTCCCAGACACCATGAACCAATCTTGTATTCCTCTTCCTTCCCTCCCTCCTTCCTTCTTTTCTTTATCTTTCCTTTCTTCCTTTTTTTTTTACTAGTTTCCTCCTTTCCTCTTGCTTTTTCTTTGTCTTTCTCTATCTCTCTTTTTCTTTTACCTGTCCTTCCTTCCTTCCTTCCTTCCTTCCTTCCTTCCTTCCTTCCTTCCTTCCTTCCTTCCTTCCCTCCTTCCTTCCCTCCTTCTTTCCTTCTTTTTGTTACTATGGAATGCACCCAGGGTCTTCATGCTGAGCTACAACCTTTTCCCTATTTTTACATTTTTCTGCTTTACACACTCTCTGTAAGTCATTAAACTGCCCGGGCTAACCTCAAATTTGGGACCCTCCTGCTCTGACCTGCTGGAGTGCTACTGTTACAGCCCCATGTACCATGGTACCTGGCTGTTTCTGGATTTGTTTTTCTAAGCTCTGTGGGTGGCCTGAATGTGTAGGCAGGGTGGTCAGACCCGCAGCCACCACATATCTCTCACCCTCTCTCTCCACCTAGTAGTGCAGCCCTGCACAGGCTCCTCCCTCCTCTGCACATCAGCTCTCACAGTGAGGGTCCCTCCACCCCAGGGCCCCTGTCCTGATGTATGCTGCGTGGCTTGTGCATTGGTCTCTTGGCTCCTCCCCAACCAGACTACAGCCCCATGGGTAGGACCTGCTCTCTCTGCTTCCTAGCTGCATCTGTGAATGTGGGCATTTCCTGCACAAAGGGCGCCACTCAGATAGCTGACAAATGGCTGCTGACTAAATATGCAAATCCATGACAGGGCTTCTTTTTTTTTTTTTTTTTTTGCGGAACTGGGGATTGAATTGAGGCTCTTGCGCTTGCCAGGGAAGCACTTATTCTACTGAGACATGTAGAGATATAGATTTGAGACAAAAGTCAGATGTCCCAAGAGAGTAGGAAACACTGGACTGAGCCTGAGGAGGGTTGCTGTCTGCTTGCAAATTCCCAAAAAGCTGGGACCCAAGGCAGCAGATAACAGCTTCTCCTGCAGGCGCCCTGTCCTTTGATCCCTTGCTTGGGATGTTATCAGCTAGCATTTGTGTAAACCTAGTGTTAGGCAAATGGTGGAAGTCATCAGAGATAGTAGTTTGTATTCACTTAGGTAATTATGCACATTCCTTAGTCTGCCTGTACCCCTCAATAAAAGTGAGATGCTTCTGAGGCTCCGGGCTCACTTGGAGAGAGACTAATCTCAGTGAGACCTCTGAAGCTACATTCATTAGGTCTTCTCGTCGTTTCTTTCAGCACCGACCTATAACATACAACAGAGACATCTCCCCGGCCCCAGTGCTTCATTCTTTATTTCCATGTCACATAAATGGGATTCCTTCCCCTGGCAAGGAAATTGGGATGTGATTTTGTTTGCTTACCTATTAAGAGAAGAAAGTAACACCTCCTTGGGGGACAATAAACATAGCATGATAATAATGTGCTACCCATCTCTCTTCCTTGTGGTACAACCCTGGGATCACAAGCATCGATCCCCAACCTTTTCAAGGTGCCCCCAGACTCCCTTACCCCTTGTCCACCTGCACCCAGCGAACCCCCAAGCTCTTACTGTGAAGCTTTCTCCTGGGATGAAGGGCATGTTGCCAGACAGCCAGCGCTCCTCTTGCCCCCAGGAGCCCATGATCTTAGTGTTTCGGACCACACATCTTTCATTGAATCGAGGGTTGAAGTGAAAGGCGATGTCAGTCCCAGCACACAGGTTGATATGGAACCTGTAGAAGACAGAAACTTGTAATCTCATTCTGTCCCCCACTATGGGCCAAATTCCCTCCCCTTTATTTCCAGGAGCCAGAGAGCCCTGGAGGCCTTCTCTTACCTTGTAGCATTGGGAGACACAATGCCTGACACAGTGACCACCTTGGATGGCTTCATCCCACCTGGGATTGCGGTGAAGAAAGGAATCGGCTGTTTGGAGAAAGGAACAAGTCAGGCTGTGACAGTGGAGAGCAGCACAGGACTGGAGAATCCTGTGTCAGTTGCTATAGACTTGGACATCTGCTGAGACCAAACCATGCCTGGGAGTAATATTGTTGGCAGCTGAATTAGATAGAAATATTATAAATAGTCAGACAGGGCCAGGCCCTCAAGGAGACAAGATGGAAAACAAGGTGACTTTGCAACTTGGAAGAGACAGACACTCCCATATGGCCAGATCTCAAGACAAAAACACAAGAGGAAATATAGCTACATACTTCCCTAGGGTATCAATCACCTTGAAAGAGCCCAAATGAATCACTAGCCCAACCCCCAACAGGAAGAGACCCTGTCCTGTATTCATGCCCACTTGCTACATGACTCACTTCCCCATTTGGTACTGGATTTAATCAATTTTACTTGGGCAATGGTGCTTGTAATCTCATTGGTTGACCATAGTTTGGTCCCACCTCATGCCCACCTAAGCGAGTTCCCAAGTCTTCATCACGTTAGACCCACCTCACCACATGGTTTTCTTCTATAAAATTCCCTGGAAGAAACAGCTTCCCAGGGGACAACTCGCTCAGGCCCCCCTCCTATCCCTCTCTCAGACAGGGACTTTCTTTCCCTCAATAAATATATTATGTTCACAACCTATTTTGTTTCTAAAATTCATTCTTTGGTTTTGGAGAACACAAACTTGTCCCAGGTACTTTTTAGGTTGGGAGATCAGTTTTTCTCCCTGTGTCAATTGGAGGTTTCCCTGTATCAATATGATTTCTTGAGGAAGCCAGGACAACTTTACTTGGTTCCTTAGATACCGAGGGAAAACATCCCAGTGCTCCCCATGTAGGGGCCTTCACTGCCATGGAAGGAACTCTGGGAAGACACTAAAGAATTCCGGGTGACAAGGGAAGGCCATACATTTAGTTCACACTGAAGGGACCATAATAAGTTGAAAGCTCCTTTCAAAATTATTCTAATATTTATGAGTATTTTTAAAATTTCAACTTCATAAGGGACCCTTTTAAATTATGCAGGTCAGAGGATCACCACCAGCTGGCACTCACCAACCGCCCCACTATTCCACATGAACCCTCCAACCACCACACACGTACTACTTACATATGGCTGGGGAGTTGCTTCAGGAGCCTGTGAAAAAGACATCAAAAATTTAATGTGGGACTGTTATGTGCGCACACTCACAAACACAAACACATTCATTGTGGAGTGGGTGCTCATACATGAATGAGGTCAAGATGGTTCATTCCTGGGTTTGTCCTGGTAACTTTGGTTGTCATAGCAATCTTTCTAGATCTTCCTGATATGTCACTGGATGCCATAACCTACCTTCCAGCTTCTCCATGTGTTAAGGAAGGCACTGAAGCCAGAATGACTCCCTTTATCCTCAGGCCCCCAAGTATGGAAACATCCATACTTTGATCTGATCCCTGGAACCTGTGAATGTGACCCTCACCATAAAAGGGTCTGCAGGTATGATTAAGTCAAGGATCTGAGGCTGGGGAGATGGGCCTGAGGCAACCACTCTAAGGCACAGTGGGTCCCTTGTAATCACAAAGGTCCTTCTAAGGGAGAGGAGAGACAGTCAGCATCAAACAACAGAAGCAAGGAGATGGTGGCTTTTCCTCTTTTATTTGTACTTTCTGTGGTGTTCAACATAGAAAACCCAGTAGTCATTTTACTCTAAGGTACAGCCCCAACCCAAGAAGCTGGTGGCTTTGGAGACAGAGAGAAAGGCCCGGGCCAATGCGTGCAGGCCCCTCAGGGAGCTGCAAAGGAAAGAGAAGTCTCTCCCTGAGCCTTGGGATGCAAGTGAACTTAGGGTGTCTGGTGTTTCTCTTCTTGGTGGAGCTGGGCATCATCTCAAGAGTCTTCTAGGCACTTGTTCTTCCATTCAGCTAAACCCAAAGCCTTTCACCATGTTCAATTACACAAGTCAGAGGGCTCCACTAGCTGCCACTTACCACCCGAGTCATTCCAAACGAAATCACCCACTACCACCCATATACCACTTATTTCAGGTTTGGGTTCAGGTTCAGGTGACTGTGGAAAAGAGGGACCACAAAATTGAATGTGGGAATGTGACGAGTACACACACACACACACACACACACACAC